ATGACAACTTCGGTTTCTTGCCAAACCATAGTTCATAAGGCGTCGTCTCAACGGATTTCGATGGTGCCCTATTTAACGTGAATGCGGCCGTCTCTAAAGCATAACCCCAAAACGATAGCGGTAAATCTGTAAGAGACATCATAGATCGCACCATATCAAGTAAAGTACGATTACGATGTTCGGACACACCATTACGCTGTGGTGTTCCGGGTGGCGTGAGTTGCGAAACTATTCCGCATTGTTTCAAATGTACACCAAACTCATAACTCAAATATTCTCCTCCACGATCAGATCGTAGAAACTTTATTTTCTTGTTACTATGATTTTCCACTTCACTCTGAAATTCTTTGAACTTTTCAAATGTTTCAGACTTGTGTTTCATTAAGTAGATATACCCATATCTGCTTCAATCATCTGTGAAGCTGAGAAAATAACGATATCCGCCACGAGCCTCAACATTCATCGGACCACATACATCTGCATGTATGATTTCCAACAAATCTGTTGCTCTCTCCATAGTACCGGAGAACGGTGTTTTGGTCATCTTGCCCATAAGGCACGGTTCGCAAGTACCAAGTGATTCATAATCAAGTGGTTCCAAAAGCCCATCAGTATGGAGTTTCTTCATGCGCTTTACACCGATATGACCTAAACGGCAGTGCCACAAATAAGTTGCACTATCATTATCAACTCTGCATCTTTTGGTTTCAACATTATGAATATGTGTATCACTACTATCGAGATTCATCAAGAATAGACCACTCCTCAAGGATGCATGACCATAAAAGATATTACTCATATAAATAGAACAACCATTATTCTCTGATTTAAATGAATAACCGTCTCGCATCAAACAAGATCTAGATATAATGTTCATGCTCAACGCTGGCACCAAATAACAATTATTTAGGTCTAATACTAATCCCGATGGTAGATGTAGAGGCATACTAGTGACACTCTGTTTGTCTATGTATTCACACATGTATTATGTTTCCGGTTAATACAATTCTAGCATGAATAATAAACATTTATCATGATATAAGGAAATAAATAATAACTTTATTATTGCCTCTAGGGCATATTTCCTTCACACGACGCCAGACAGCGCCACCACCTCCCTGCGCGAGTCCATCTCCGCGCATCAGACGTCGAGTCTTCACGGCGCCATGCCACCGAGATCCGCCGCCATCAATGTGTAAGCTGAAGCACCGCTCCACCAAAAAGCCTTCCACTGGTCCATCGGTCCGTGTACACCTCCACGAATGACGCCCCCAAGAGGGAAACGACACCATAGCGCCGCCGTCATCTAATCTACTGATCTAGGGTTTCCCCCGGAGGTAGCATAGAGTGGCCTTGAACTTCTCCACGGCGATGCCTTCAAGAAGGGAACGACGCAGACAGCGCCACCACCGCCGACCTTGGTAGCTAGCCGAGAGTAGGTTTTCACCCAGATCGGTTCGAAGATCCTCCCTCAAGCATCTCGTGCACGGACTGCCGCCATCTCTGCCGGGGACTGGACGAAAGGGATCCAGGCCGCCGCCGCCTGACCGGCCATGGCACCACCATGGTGCCTACAGCCGGCGGCGTCAGGCCCACCGCGCTCGTCTGTAGATGCACACCGGAACCGCCGGACCGCCCAAGCCCATCTGGGCAAGACCAGATCGGCGATCTCGGCCACCGCCACAGGGGTGACTCCGCCGCGGGGAGGTCGCGCCTCCGCTGACGCCGCCGTCACGCATGCCGTAGGGATCCCGCCGCTCCTTGCCGTCGGATCTGCGTCGAACGATGCGCCGCCGCTGCCCGGAAAAAACGCCACCACCGCGCGAGGGATAAGGCCCCGCCGCCGCCATCATAGGCCAGGATTCACCAGTGAGACCTCAGGTGGCGGCAAGACGGAGGAGGTGAGGGGAGGGGGCCTAGGGACGGCGGCATGGTCGCCCCCGTGTCGCCTAGGGTTGACGATGCGGGGTCCTTGGTGCTACCGCTAACTGTTTCTGAGTCGATCTTGACTACTCAGGTTTCTGAATCGACCTTGACTACTCAGGTCCATTGGCCTGATCAGTTGTGCTGGAAGCTAACTAGGAATGGGGAGTTTACGGTTAAATCCATGTATCTGGATGTTATCAACTCTACCTCTATTCCTAGTTCGAAACATGTTTGAAAAGTCAAAGTTCCTTTGAAAATTAAAGTGTTTATGTGGTTCGTACATAAACAAGTCATTTTAACTAAGGACAATTTGGCAAAAACGCAACTGGACAGGATCTACAATATGTAGTTTTTTTGCTCATGATGAATCCATCAAACACCTCTTTCTTGACTGCCCTTTGGCAAAAAAAATTGGCGGGCGGTTCACGTAGCTTTTAATATTACTCCTCCGAATAATATCAGCACGTTATTTGGGACGTGGCTTGACGGGATACATTCTCAAACAGCGAGATACATTCGTGTAGGAGTACGTGCTTTATTATGGGCAGTCTGGAACTGCAGAAATGATTTGGTCTTTAACAGAACAACAAGGATTCTTTTTTTGCAGGTTATTTTCCGAGCCACTGTGTTGATCCGTATGTGGTCGCTACTCACTCCGACAAAGGCCAGTGAGCGTATGGTTATTGGATCTATCCGTTGGGAGATGGGAGATGGTAGCACGGGCTATTTTCAACCGGTTTGGATGGCGGTTACGTGATAGGATAGGCAATTAGTTTTTCTATTTTTCTTATGCCAGCCGGTTGTGGCTTTATTTTTCTTTCTCTGCTCTTTGTGAGCATTTTTCGTTCTTTTGTTTGAGACATGATGACTTGTGTTGAACCTTTTTGCTTATTAATAAGTATGGCCGTACGCATCGTTCTGATGCAGAGGCCGGGGAGCTCCCCCTTTTCAAAAAAAAAATTCAGGGGAGTCAAGCAGACGTATATCCCGGTTTTGTAAGCTTCTGCACCTTTTTTTTCTTTTCTGTTGTTTTCCTACTTGGTTATAGTTTGATTGTTCCCTTTTTTGTTTTTTCACTCAGTTTTTTGTTTTTTTCACTCAGTTTTTTGTTACTTCCTTTGTTTTTGTTTCTTTATTTCCTTTTTATTTCTTGAATATATTTTTCAAATTCACAAACTCTTTTCATATCCAGGAACTTTATCCAAATCTCAAACATTTTAAAATGAAAATTTTCAAATTCTAGAAATGTCAAATGCTTAAAAAACAAATTGATGGACTTTTTCAAAAATATATTTGTTTTGAATTCGCAAACCTTATAAAAAATTCATTTTTTATATTTACAAGAAAATTTTCAAATTAATTTTAAAACAATTGTGAACTTTTTCTAAAATTGTATGATTTTTCTCTCAGATTGTGAATCGAGCGAAAAAGGGAGCCAGCGAGGGGAAACTCTATTCGCCGCATTGTGCGACAAGTAGTCGAGCTACCCAGTTAGCGATTTTTTATGTGGAATCGTTTTCCGGTTTTGCGAACCTCCTGGATGGTTCCTGGCCAGTTTTGGGAACCTTCAGATGGTTCTTGAATCAATTTTTCTGGTTTTCTTTTTTCTTGTTCTTTTCGTTTTTAGTTATTTCTGTTTCTTTTTCCTTTTCTTTATTTCCTTTTTGTTTTCTTTCTTTGGTTTTTTTATTTATTCTCAAAATGCTCTCAAAGTTAAAAATGTGTTCTCGTTACACAAACAAGTTCAAAACTTTCGTAATTCAGAATATGTACCAGATTTCAATTTTTTGTTCACATATTAAAAAATGTTCGCGCTTCCAAATTTGTTCGGGATTTTTCAAAATTGTTCTTCGTTTCAACATTTGTTCTCAAGATTTCAGAAAATGTTCGTGCTTTAAAAAATTGTTCGCGCTTCCAAATTTGTTCTCAAGATTCAAAAATTGTCCGTGCTTTAAAAAATTGTTCACAAATTTCAAAATGTACATGTTTTCGAAAAATGTTTGAGATTTTCACAATTTGTTTGTTTTCATTAAATTTGTTTGCATTTTTGAAAAAAATATACATTCAAAAAATTACTCAAAATTTGGAATTTATTTTTGGATTTTGTCAAACAGTGTTAAATCCGGAACTGTACTTAGTTTCTTCCAGTGCTCCACTGTATTTTGGTCGTTAGGTGGCTTAGCACTGATGTTGCGCAAGCAAGTAGTCCCGTCTTCGTTTCCTAGCGACCGCGCAATACTGATCCTTTTTGCGAGTTTTCTCACTCGCAGCGCACTTATTAATGGGCCGGCGCAGTCGGCGTCCCCTATGCGACACAGCATTTATTTGCCGCAGAGCGCGGCAAATAGAAGGTCCAGCCAGCGAGTTCCTCGCCCCATTTTGTTGGGCCGGCCCACGAGTGGGTGGCACTTGAGGACTCATATCCTGAAATCACTAGTTGAGGAGTATTTGTTGCAAAGATCACCCCAACTTCCTAGGTTACGACAAATAGCGCAGATGCAGCGTGCCAATTGTCGCAACCTAGGAGTTTTCTTTTTTTTCGTAGATCCGCTTATACAAAACGTTTTATTTTTTAAATCGTGCGTCCAAATCTCGAACCGCTTTCATCGTTGGATTCCTCGCGTCAAGATCTTCAAAACTAGATCCCATGTTGATAGGCTTTGACGATTTTTTTTTCAAAAAAAACCGAACCGAGAGCACGGATTTTTTCCCTTTTTCAAAAAAGACACGCGTGCCTTTCGTGGAAGCAAAACTGTGAACACAACATATCATATGCAGACGATCGTCGATTATTGCACCGGTGAGGAGTCGTGCGGTTGTTTTCAGAATCCAAAGACGATGGTGACATCCATGCTACTAGCTAGCTAGTGTCCCATAGGTAAAATGCATGCCGGGTACGCAAGCAATTGATGCACGCATGCTCACGCATCAACCATCGATACAGACAAACATGCACACCTTGGATGACACCGATCGATCACTGACTCATCGCCGGCCTATGCTTTACATACGTGTGTGTGAGCAGAGCACACGACTGTGAGAGCTAGCTAGCTAGCTGGCTTCATCGAGCGACAATGGCCTCCGACCGCCTCAGCGCCCTCCGGGCCTTCGACGACACCAAGGCCGGCGTCAAGGGCCTCGTGGACGCCGGCGCCATCGCCATCCCGGCCATTTTCCACCACCCACCCGACGCCTTCGCCCCGTCCACTGTCGCCACCGACGTCGCCGTTCCAATCGTCGACCTCTCCTGCGAGCGCTCGGCCGTGGTCGGCGCGGTGAGGGCCGCGGCGGAGACGGTGGGCTTCTTCCTGCTGGCGAACCACGGCGTGCCGGAGGCGGCCATGTCGGGGATGCTGGCGGCGGTGCGGCGCTTCAACGAGGAGCCGGCGGAGGCCAAGGCGCCGTACTACACACGGGACGCGGCCAGGCGCGTGCGCTACAGCTGCAACGCGGACCTCTTCCAGACGCTGGTGGGCAAGTGGCGCGACACCGTGTACATGGACGACGCGGACCGGCCGGCATCCGGCGAGGAGACGGAGGAGCTCCTCCTCCCGCCGGCGTTGAGGGGCGTCGCGCCGGAGTACACGGGGCAGATGCGGCGGCTGGGGCGCGCCCTCTTCGAGCTGCTGTCGGAGGCCCTGGGGCTGCCTCGTCCTGCCTACCTGGAGGAGGAGGCCGGCTGCATGGCGGCGCTCAGCGTGGCCGGCCACTACTACCCGGCGTGCCCGGAGCCGCACCTCACGATGGGCACCGTCAAGCACTCCGACCCCAGCTTCCTCACCGTGCTGCTCCAGGACGCCGTCGGCGGCCTCCAGGTGCTCGTGGACGACCTCCTCAAGGACGGCAGCGAGCCCGCCGCGTGGGTGGACGTGCCGGCGATGGGGGAGGCGTCGCTGGTGGTGAACGTCGGCGACTTCCTGCAGCTGGTGTCCAACGACAGGTTCAAGAGCCCGGTGCACCGCGTGGTGTCCAAGAGCGTGGGGCCCCGGGTGTCGGTGGCGTGCTTCTTCAGGGCGAACGGCCCGACGGTGTGCGCCCCGGTGGTCGTCGACGGGAGCGGACCGCCGCGGTACAGGAGCATCAAGGCGGAGGAGATGCTCTGCATGTCCAAGACACAGACACGGCTCAACAACGTGAGGCTCTAGCTAGCTAGCATCCGTTCTGTTTAATAAAAAAAAAAAACTAGCTAGCATCCGTGCGTTCACAAGGATAGTCTGGCACATCTCTATGTTGTGGGATGCAAACATCATCAATGTTGCAATATAGCAATTCTGTATGCTGTCAGCATTTGCCATGACAAAAATATCATGCCAAAGATTATTTTCGAGTACTCAAGAAAATCAAAAAATTGTCATGAATTTATTCATATACTGTATTAAATAAAATGCCATGACCCATCAATTAGAGTTGCCATACAGGATTAAGTTGAACATGAATGCATCTATACATGGATGTGTACTCCATGCAATTAAGTTGACATGCTCCATACAAATCACATGGCATGGAAAATTTGCCACGGCAGAAAAAGAGTAAAATTTGCCATGTGAATGAAAATCATTTTTTCCATGGCAAAAAAAAGTAAAATTTGCCATATGAATATAATTTATTTTTGACATAGAAGAAGAGTTTAAATTTTGCCAGGGCAAAAAAGAGTAAAATTTGCCATGGCTACCTAAGTAAATATACCATACTACTCCCTCCGTATCTAGACAAATTTTGTCTAGATACGGATGTATCTAGACTCATTTTAGTGCTAGATACCTCCGTATCTAGACAAATCCAAGACAAGTGCTAGATACCTCCGTGTGTGCAGGCGCAGCACGTCGCCGTGGTTGGCCAGCATCCTCGACACGGCCGGCGTGGCGGCCGTGGCCTCGGAGCTGGCCGCGAGGTGCACCCCCCTGGCAACGCGGCAGAGGTCCAGCGCGATGTCCTTGCCGCTCTCCGCGCACCCGACCACCACCACCGCCTCGGTGCGGAACTGCTCCGGCATCCGGTATGAGTGGCTGTGCAGCTGCCGGTGCGTCCACTCCCCCATGCCCTCGATGTCGCTCGGGAGCATCGGCTGCGCTAGTAGAAAAAGGGTCAAACATGAAGCACATTAGTGCCGGTTTGAATTTGAGCCGGCACTAATGGTACCATTAGTGCCGGTTCGAACGACTATGCATTAATGCCGGTTCATATTGAACCTTTAGGGTGTGTTTGGTTTATGTCACAAAATGGAACGGCACAGGTCGGCTTCATCCTCGAGGCCCATTCATGCGTTTGGATAGTGAAACGAACGAGAACCACTTGATTCCAGAAACGGCATATTCCCTGTTTATGCCGTTCCGCGCGGTTCCTCCAAATCGAGCGGACCACGCGGAACTACTCACCCGTCTCCCTCGCACGAAGCTTCTCGCATCTCCTTCTGTCGCATGAACCTGGCTCCCTCCTGGATCCGCGCCACCAACCACTCCTCCCCGAATCCACGCCGCTGGCCGCTTCTCCTGGATCCGCGCGGCGGCTGCTCGTCTCCTTCATCTGCGGTGCGGCCGGTCCTCTCCTTCAGCAGCGCCGCTGGCAGCTCCTCTCCTTCAACAGCGCCGCCGGCTGCTCCTCTCTCTCATTCGTGCCGGCGGCCGGGAAGACGGGCGCCAGTGCCCAGCGCTCAGCCGACAGACATGGCGCGGTGGTGCGCAACCCATGTTCGGGAATACAGGCGGCAGCGGGGGTAGCAGAGGGCAATGCGGGGCTCACGGCCGAGAAGAGGAGCAGGCGGCCGACGCGGGTGGCACCGGCGGCCGCGCGGCCAAGGCTGGGAAGAGGGGCACCGGATCCAGTGCTCAGGCGGCAGTCCGATAGGAGAGCGATGGTGGCCGGCTCAGGTGGCAGCTGCGTATTTTTTCCTTTTGCAATTGTTCTTGCCAATTTGTACACGGATGTTTAGATTATTGACAGGTTTTGTTATCTATTTGTACATGCTTGTTCTTGCTTTTTGCAAAAATAAATTTGTGCATGTGTAAATTTGTTGGTAAATGTATGATTGTGTATGTACATTGACTAAGTGGTGATGCAAAGATAATAAAAATGTTTTTTCAGAATTTTAATAAGATGCTTCTAAAAATAATATCAATGTTGCATACATTGCCAAAAAAGCAAACACAAATTTAAACATTTTTCATTCGATTCTATTCCACCAACCAGACATTGAGATGTAACCGTTCCATTCAACCTCATTATTCATATCAAACACAGAGACGGAACCATTGCATTCCTGTGGAACGGAACCATTACATTCCATTACACTTGGTCCCCGAACCAAACACACCCTTAGTACCGGTTCGTGGCACGAATCGGTACTAAAGGGGTGATGGCAGGCTGGCGTCCGGCTGGGGCCCCACGATCACCTTTAGTACCGGTTCGTGGCACGAACCGGTACTAAAGGGCTAACCTTTAGTACCGGTTTGTGCCACGAACCGGTAC